GTTACCCTGTGTCCCCCAGCCCCCGTTATCCCATGTCCCTCATCCCATGTTACCCCATGTCCCCTATCCCATGTTATCCCATGTCCCTCAGCCCACGTTATCCCCTGCCCCTCAGACCCTGTTATCCCATGTCCCTTATACCCTATTACCCTGTGTCCCTCAGCATACATTATCCCATGTCCCTTATCACATGTTATCCCATGTCTATCCCTGTTTCTGCCCCTCATCCTGTGTTATCCCCTGTCCCTTATCCCCCGTTACCATCTGCCCCTTATCCCCTGTTACCCCATGTCCCTCACCCCATGTCACCCGCTGTCCCCCAGTGCCCGTTACCCCTCGGGATGAGCGCTCCCCCTCGCCGGCCTCGCTTGCGGCCCTGGCTGGAGGCTCAGGTCAGCAGCCGCCGCTTCCCCGGCCTGCGCTGGCTGGACCCCGGGCGCCGCCGCTTCTGCATCCCCTGGAGGCACGCGACCCGCGGGCCCCCCGAGCCCCCCCAGCACCACAGCATCTTCAAGGTGACCGGGGGGGCACGGCATAGGGGGGCAATGGGGACATGTGGGGCACGAGATGGGGTGATGGGGTGATAACGAGGGGATGATGGGGTGACAGTGGGAACCCAGGATTGGGTGACAATGGGGGACACAGGATGGAGTGATGGGGTGATGGGGTGATAACGAGGGGATGATGGGGTGACACGGGGAACAAGATGGAGTGATGGGGTGATAGAACAGGGAATAGGGGTGACAGTGGGAACCCAGGATTGGGTGACAATGGGGGGCACAAGATGGAGTGATGGGGGAATGGGGTGATAACGAGGGGATGATGGGGTGACACGGGGAACAGGGAATAGGGGTGACAGTGGGAACCCAGGATTGGGTGACAATGGGGGACACAAGATGGAGTGATGGGGTGATGGGGTAATGGGGTGATAACGAGGGGATGATGGGGTGACACGGGGAACAGGGAATAGGGGTGACAGTGGGAACCCAGGATTGGGTGACAATGGGGGACACAAGATGGAGTGATGGGGTGATGGGGCGAGGGGATGATGGGGTGACACGGGGAACAGGGAATAGGGGTGACAGTGGGAACCCAGGATTGGGTGACAATGGGGGACACAAGATGGAGTGATGGGGTAATGGGGTGATAACGAGGGGATGATGGGGTGACACGGGGAACAGGGAATAGGGGTGACAGTGGGAACCCAGGATTGGGTGACAATGGGGGGCACAAGATGGAGTGATGGGGGAATGGGGTGATAACGAGGGGATGATGGGGTGACACGGGGAACAGGGAATAGGGGTGACAGTGGGAACCCAGGATTGGGTGACAATGGGGGACACAAGATGGAGTGATGGGGTGATGGGGTAATGGGGTGATAACGAGGGGGTGATGGGGTGACACGGGGAACAGGGAATAGGGGTGACAGTGGGAACCCAGGATTGGGTGACAATGGGGGACACAAGATGGAGGTGATGGGGTGGCAACAGGGATGCAGAACAGGGGTGATGGGATGCCCATGGGGATGTGGGGTGTCAGATGAGAAAGCGGTGGGAGATGGGGGTGATGGGATGAGAAGGGAACTCGGGATGTGGGTGCTATGGGGTGACCATAGGGACCCGGGACAAGTGTGCAGGTGCTATGGGGTGACCATAGGGACCCGGGGCAGGGGTGCAGGCGCTATGGGGTGACCATAGGGACCCGGGACAGGGGTGCAGGCGCTATGGGGTGACCATAGGGACCCGGGCTGGGGGTGCAGGCGCTATGGGGTGACCATAGGGACCCGGGTTGCTATGGGGTGACCATAGGGACCCGGGCAGGGGTGCAGGCGCTATGGGGTGACCATAGGGACCCGGGCTGGGGGTGCAGGCGCTATGGGGTGACCATAGGGACCCGGGATGGGGGTGCAGGTGCTATGGGGTGACCATAGGGACCCGGGATGGGGGTGCAGGCGCTATGGGGTGACCATAGGGACCCGGGGCAGGGGTGCAGGCGCTATGGGGTGACCATAGGGACCCGGGACAGGGGTGCAGGCGCTATGGGGTGACCATAGGGACCCGGGCTGGGGGTGCAGGCGCTATGGGGTGACCATAGGGACCCGGGATGTGGGTGCAGGCGCTATGGGGTGACCATAGGGACCCGGGCTGGGGGTGCAGGCGCTATGGGGTGACCATAGGGACCCAGGATGTGGGTGCAGGTGCTATGGGGTGACCATAGGGACCCAGGATGTGGGTGCAGGCGCTATGGGGTGACCATAGGGACCCGGGACAAGTGTGCAGGTGCTATGGGGTGACCATAGGGACCCAGGACAAGGGTGCAGGCGCTATGGGGTGACCATAGGGACCCGGGCTGGGGGTGCTATGGGGTGTGGGGGGCTAGGGGTGCAGGCGCTATGGGGTGACCATAGGGACCCGGGACAAGGGTGCAGGTGCTATGGGGTGACCATAGGGACCCGGGCTGGGGGTGCAGGCGCTATGGGGTGACCATAGGGACCCGGGCT